GATGGATGGATGGATGGATGGATGGATGGATGTTTTTGCTGTTATCTTCCTGTTGCAGCAGTTCTGGGTTCAGCCCTCAGTCGGACTTCCTCTTTAAACCAAAGCAAAGCCGACTTCCTCCTGCCTCTTTCCAATAGCGGCCATATTTAGCAACCAAAGCCTCCTTAAGACATTTTAACCCTGCAGCACCATAAGCTGCTCTGGTTTCTGGTCCGTTCTGACTGGTTCAAGCTCTGACAGACTGGTTCAAGTTCCCAATAAAATGATCATTATTTCCAGTATTTTTTCAGTTAACTAGCCGATGACATACCAGTCTAACCCATAGAAACTGGAGTCAGTAAATAATCCATCTGCTGGCATTCCTTCTCCAAACAACAAAGGTTTTACTGTTTGGATTCTTTGAGACTTTTACTTGGTTTGGTTTAACCTATCAAAGTGTCTTAACATGTCCAACAGGACAGTCACCACCTCTCTGTAGGGACGTGTCAGCTCTTTCGGAAAGTTGTTTTTTCAAAATTAAGCATTTGACCCAAAGATCAGCGTCTTGGATAGAGCCTGGCTGCAGCAACAGCAGGCTGAATGCTCCTGTTTTCTACACTCCTTTAGTTTTTTATTCATCTGAAGAATAGTTGGACTCACCCAGTTGTTACTCTGCTCTGTGTCGTCAGCATAACTGCAGTACTTTAACTTATGGGTTATGGAATCTAGGCAAAGGGAAGCTTGTTATAAAGGAAAGAAGCCCCAAGATAGAGCCTTGAGGAACTCCATGATTGATTCTATTCAGCTTAGATTAGTAGTTACTTACAGAGAGCCAGATGAGCACCACAGCCTCACATACCAACCAAATCCTCTGCTCAGGATAAAAAAATGTCTCAATTAGCCGCATCAATGTTTGATCTGAGACCCAAACTTTCCAAAAAGAGGTTTTAATTTTGTGATAATGAAAACCAGAAGGACTTTAAACCCTCCTGATTCTTTAGATGTTAATGATTTTCTGCCTCAGACATTAGGGGGTCAACTGGAGATGAACCTTTTCATAATTAGCTTCAGCTCAATCTGGCTGCTCCAGAAATGGATTCCAGCAGCACACGAAGGACTTTAACAGCCATGAGAAGAAAAGATGTTTCTGCTTATTGTTCATGTATTTTCGTTTATCTTTGTGTTGATTTATTTTTTCTGATGGATGAATAGTGTCCATCTGTCTGAAGACCATCCTGTATGGTTGTAAGGAAGGACCGGCCCGACTGAACTGATCTGAGACCCGTTTTTGTCTGAGATAGCTCTGGTTTTGGATTCAGGCGTTTAGGAAGTTCCCATCAGAACATCTAAACCCTTTGGAGCTTTTCTTCTCTGACCTCAACCAGAAACATTCTGGTGCTGATGACTGGCTTGTTTGCTAATTTCATTCTCCTGCCTAGCGCCGCTTAGTTTCTCATTGCCACTCATAATATCCACCTGTTCAAGCTTCTTTTTAAAATCCCTACTCCCAGTCATCAGTGCAAGAGTATTCTTAAGCCTTTGGTGTGAGAGGTTTCTAGATTGTGTTCTGATTGCCTGATCGCGGCTGTTTTGCTGTTGGACCTCTTTGCCTGCCTCCTTCTGTTCTGACACTTTTGCCTGACATGTCTTCGGACACCTGCCTCTTATGGACTGAACCTGGATCTGCCTCCTGACTTTGAGCTGGATTATCCTGCCTACCTTGTCTGCTTGGATCTGACCTCCTGCCAGTTCTAAAGCCATCTGGACCTCTCTGTGTGGCAACCGCTGCATCTTGTCAGCCGAGCGGCTGGTATTAACCTCGTTCTCTCTGCTCGGACTTTACTCTAAACCAGAGTTTCATGCCTTAGACGCCCTTGCCGTTGCTTCTGCAGATCTGTATTAAACGTTTTTTGAATAATCCCGCTGTCGGCCTGGTCCTGCCAGGTTCTGTGCATGTTTGATGATCAGAAAGTGCATTTGCAGGGTTCAGAAGTCTGCAGCTGAGTCAGTATGGTTTAACCTTTTTTAAATGTTCTTCCCTTAAAGACACAAATAGTTTGTGTGTTAAGAGCTCATTTTTTTGCGAGGACAGAGTTTCCACTGCGGTCGGCTCGCTGCTGCTGAGCTTCCATCTCTAAGTCGCTGTGTGGTTGTGTAGTGGAAAATGTAAGAGCTGGTTCCTGCTGCGGTTGCAGGCCCGATGCAGGGTGTTGCAGTGCTGCGGTGACCGGCAGATACAAGACGACCTCAGCTTTTATCTTGGCAGGACAAACTTCCTTTTTCTAAGCAGGAAGTACTTAACGTTTAGATGCCTGTTTTATTATCGTCTCTAAACGCCTGAGAATTTGTCGACCAGCATCCGTGCGAACCAGGAAGATGCTTTTTTTAGTGCTCAGCTGGTTTCACAGGGTGGAGTTGCTCCTTCATGGCATGCATCATCACAAACAGAAGAAGATA